AGCTTCGCTGGAACACTGCAGCAAGCCTGAGACAGAGATGTTGGCCAGAGAACAGGGTGGTGTGTTAAGGTGGCAGGCAACAGGTAGCTCAGGGTCTTTTTTTGAGCAGAAAATAGAACATTCTGCAACCCTCTGGACTCAATATCGAGTTTTATCATTTTAGGGCCTAACTCTCCCATGTCCTAGCCCACACACCAGCCTTGTTATCACACAGCCTGCCATTACACTCTACCTATTGTTAGTCACTAACAGTCCCCATTAACAACTATTCACCCTTCCAGTCAGATTGTTATCAACTCCTTTGTCTATCCAACTGCTCTTCTCTCTCTTTTGGCTCTATCATATCGTTTACTCCCCACCCCATTCCCCTCCCTATTTTCTGCACATAAACCAATGTTTTCCCAGCAACCACCAGTTCTGAGGAAGGGTCCACTTTTCTGTCTTTTCTCTGTAACTCTTGATTCCCTTATGGATTAAAAATCTATCTATTGCAGCCATGAATTTACTCGATAGCCTTTTGTGGCAAAGAATTCCACTGTCTGACAGAAGAAATTCCTCTTTATTTCTGTCTTAAATGGATGATCCCTTACTCTGAGATATGCCCTGATTCTAGACTCTCCCAGGAAACAACCTTTTCACATCTACATGATCGAGCCTCCAAAGAATATTATATTTCTAAACTGGGTCACCTCTCGCCCTTCTAAACCCAATCAGTACGGTCCAACCTATCCAACCTTCTCTCATAAGAAAATCCTTCTATACCTGGGATCAACATAAAAATAAAAACCAAAAGAGCTGCAGATGTTGTAAATCGGAAACCATAGTAAGTCTTTTTATGGACTATTTCCTATTCCAGCATATCTTTCCTTAGGTAAGGGAGCCAAACTGCACACAAAATCCTAGCTAAGGTCTAACTAGCACCTTGGACTTTAAGCAAGATCTCTTTACTTTTATACTCCATTCCCTTTGAAATAAAAACCAATGTTCCATTTCCCTTCCCTATTACCTGCTAAGCGATTAATGCACAAGAACTCCCAAATCACTTTATGCTGTAGCTTTCTGCATTTTATTTAACTACTCTGTCCTTCCTGCCAAAACTCATAAACTCACATTTTCCCAGTTTATTTTCCGCTTGCCAAGTTTATGCCCACTCACATAACTTGTATATAATCCTTCTGTATACTCTATCCTCGCCACTTGCCTTGCCATCTATTTTTCTACCATCTGCAAACTTGGCTCTAGTACATCCACTTTCCTCATCCAGGTCATTAATATATATTGTACATAATTGTGGCCCAAGCACCAACTGCTTTGGCACTCCATGAGGTATAGATTGCCATTCTGAAAATGACCCCTTATCGCAATCCTTTTCCAATATCCCAAAAATCTATTCGTTAGCCAATCCGCTATCCATGCTTATATACTACCTCCAGCACCATGCGCTTGTGTAGCTGCTAAACACTTCAATGCCACTGGCAGTTTCTGCTAAATTAATTTGGAGATTCCATTAACTTGGAACAATTCATGGAATCAATCACTTTATTAGCATGAAAGTAGATAAGCCATGCTAAATAGTATGTTACGTTCTACAAATATGCTCAGACATTTAAACTTGCATACTATCTGTAGCCATCAGATTTTAAAAAAAGTTCTTGAAGGGTGATGTCGCTGTTGTGAAGGATGTCTGCCTGTTTTCCATTTCGAATTATTCTAGGATGGGAGGCAGGTGGTATCAAAAATGAGCTCTACTCGGCGTGCAAGTTCCCCAATTCCGTTCTGTCTCTAGGCTATTTCTGAAGAGGTGGGATTGAGGCTACCAGAGCTATCTACCCACATAGGGTCATTAATTGAGGTTATTTGAAAGGGTGATCTGAAGTAGGCAGAGGCAGCCCTATAGACAGAATTGCACAAGAAGGTAACCCCACAGTATTGGTATAGCTGCTGAATCTATTTTTAAATAAATGACTTTAAAACATTAGAGAAGGGGCACTTCCATTTTAAACTACACTGTCTCTGACTTGCCTTTGATCACAACCTGCTGCTCCTCTCAAGCTGAAAGATCTCTAACTTGTCAATGCGTGGGTTTGGCCTTGGATACTGTCTGGTCTTCTGTTTCCCATCAACAAAGGTAAAATTCAGCCTCTTATTTCTCAGCTGCATTAAATCTCGTCCAATATCCATGAAACAATGGTTGAGTTTATATACAACAGACACACTCTTGACTTTTCATGATCTTCTCTTCCACCAGAGAACTACCTGGCATTTGATGCACATCTTCCTGCAATAGCCCCATGTACGGAAAAGCAAGGACAAACATTCACAGCAGGTGTATCTGGAGAAATCAGTCATAATGTCCTCCCATTGAATGCCAAATTTTTTTTTTTGTCAGGATTGCCTGCAATAAAGTCCTGAATTTTGACTAAATGACACAGCATTACAACACGAGTCATTACTATTTTGCACACTTTTAAAATTTCAAAGTCCATAATTTAAATGAATTCCAAGTGATGTACTTTCCTCTTGCACTTTAAAGGCATTCTTTTCAGCTGGGAAATAAAAAAAAAAACTGGGATATGAATTTGACTTGCTTTGTTAGCTTCTTTAAGTGTTCATTAATTCAGCAACCTCTCTGCCTGCCCACTTTCCAAGTGCCTTTACCATAAGATCAGAAATCACAGTTAGAGGATAAAACACAGACACCACAAGTGACCTTCC